GTCGGTGCATGGACCAAATCCCAAGAGGGAGCTACAACCGTGCTTGCAAAGCATACAACATGTGACGTTTGCTTTCGATTTTAGACCCTGGCAGCTCGCAGGGTCGGCGTGAACGTGAGACGTGGCGAGCATGTGGGACGTGCGGCTTTAGAGCCTGGCAGCTCGCAGCGTCAGCGTGGACGTGAGACGTGACGAGCATGTGGGACGTGCGGCTTTAGAGCCTGGCAGCTCGCAGCGTCAGCGTGGACGTGAGACGTGGCGAGCATGTGGGACGTGCGGCTTCATAGCCTGGCAGCTCGCAGGGTAGGCGTGGACGTGAGACGTGACGAGCATTCAAGGCGGCTGACCAGTGGCAGGCCACCATTTTCGCAGTTAAAACAGTCGCCGTTAGGACGTGGCCTAAGCACAATTACCACGGCCGGGTACTGTAAAAATCACCAACAATTGTACCCAACAATACACATCATGACGACTGGACAGAGAACCACATGCCATGACATAGTTATGATACGTTTTGTATCGAATCTTGTAGCGTGACGGTAGTGCGACCAGAGCAAAACAATATTTATGTTCATTGCAGACCAGTGGTGCTGCATTCGATGGGCACTTGGGCTTATGAATCCTGTTCATATTGTCGACCGGTGGATGTCTGACAAGCGCGGAATAGATATGCTGGTATTCTGCTGGACAACGCTTTGGAAAAACAGAAGGGACGCGACGACCCAAACACTATTGTACGCTGCACCCGCACATAAGCAACATGTCCCGTTCAGCACGTTCTTCGGGTGGTATACAAGGCTGTTCCGGAAAGGCCCGCCGGCACTGAAGCCCGTCTACTTCTAGGAGCCCTTCTGGTTCCCAGAGATCGACGACAGCGGAATTAACGCCATACACAGCACCGACTTCCACGATGAATCTATGACCCCCGCCCGCGGATAGCGCTTGGGAAGTGCATTGGGGTGTAACGTCGTACCCGCATACTCCCATCCAGCGCCTGCGCTGCGGAGTCATGTCATGTGCACACGACATTGACAAAACACACACAAACCATTCCGCGCGAACTATCCTCCGCGGCGCGCCATCGCTACAGGACGGCGACCTGACTGGGCTGGGGCCTGCCCCCGCGTGACGCCTGCACCCGGCGTCGCCAGCGCAGGCCCGTCGGAGCACGACACCGGGGCGACGCGGGCGCGCGGTCGGACGGCGGTCGGGGCCGACCACAGACGCGCAGCAGCGCACAGCGGCGCCGACACGGAGCGGACCGGCCGATCAGACGGTCCGACGTCGGCACACCGCGAATCTGCTCAGCGGCGCCAACACGGAGCGGACCGGCCGATCAGACGGTCCGACGTCGGCACACCGCGACTCTGCTCAGCGGCGCCGACACGGAGCGGACCGGCCGATCAGACGGTCCGACGCCGGCACACCGCGACTCTGCTCAGCGGCGCCGACACGGAGCGGACCGGCCGATCAGACGGTCCGACGTCGGCACACCGCGAATCTGCTCAGCGGCGCCGACACGGAGCGGACCGGCCGAGCAGACGGTCCGATGTCGGCACACCGCGACTCTGCTCAGCGGCGCCAACACGGAGCGGACCGGCCGATCAGACGGTCCGACGCCGGCACGCCGCAACTCCGCTCAGCAGCGCACAGCGGCGCCGACACGGAGCGGACCGGCCGATCAGACGGTCCGACGCAGGCACGCCGCAACTCCGTTCAGCAGCGCACAGCGGCGCCGACACGGAGTGGACCGGCCGACCAGACGGTCCGACGCCGGCACGCCGCAACTCCGCTCAGCGGCGCACAACACCGGGCAGCACCGAACGCACGACAAAGCTTAGTAAAGCTGGGCTTTGTAGTCGCTGCCGTCCGTAACAACGATGCTAGTAAATGGTAGTGATTTGTAAACGCTAGTGTTTGTGGGTGTAAATGGATGTTGAATATGCTCGTAAGTGCTCATGTTCGCACAGCACATATGGTAAGCGCAAATGCTGGTATTGTCAATGATCGTAACTTGGACCCAGATGGAACAAAACATGTTTTTCAAGATCGGAAATATAGCCGTGCCCTCCATCACCCTAAGGACTCGAGCATCGACCTGGCATAGCAGACGGGACACGTATCAAGCGTATTTGAAGAAGCCATGGCGAGATTTTTCACCCACTCAAACGAACGCGATCAGCTTTTGAAATCCAGTTAGAGATTACACCTAGTAAGCTCCTTCCCTCATCTGTTCCAAGGAAGGGTAGAACATTCCGATTCCAAGCCAATGTTTCAATACCCGGATATCCCGAACGCGCCAAACAGTGTCAATTTTGCGCTTTGGCTCCAGCCCCAACGACAGGGACTGAAACGCGCTCATAACATAACCCATGGTGGTGCTTACATCTCACTAGGCCATTGCATTAAGGCCAATGTCCTGAGGAAATTTTGCGGCGCAAGGAGAAAACAACGCCACCGCTGCTTTCACTCGCGTAGCTTTCTTCAACAGCTCTGCATTAACTCATCCTACGTTTTATCTTGAGTATGAAAACGTCTGCTCAGCGACAGTTTACGTCTACAGTCATCTGCTATACGAACACTGGCGTTGACGAGCCTCTGGATAAACATTAGCGTCTACCCTCCGCAGCGAGCAGTTACGATACGAACATTGGTGCATACCAACAACAGTCACACAAACACCGGGCGTGCAGACGTCCGCGGTCAAGAACATCTGCCTAACGAGCACGGGGCACCAGCGATGTAGTGGCTAAGCTGCGCTTCTGGGAAGCCAGCGGCACGGGGTTCGATTCCCCTCTGTGCCCGCCCTCCCTGCCAGGGTGAGAGGCAGGCGAAGCCACATAAGCTCAGCCGGCGACTGTGTCGTTACCGCATACAAATCACGGTGGATAACGTTCACTTGTCCGATCGTCAAAACGCTACGGACGAAAAAGCCAGCGCCGCCGCAGAGCCGGCCGTCCAGTGCTCCGGCGGCCAGCCGGCTGAGACGCGCTCCAGCCGTGTACGGGATAGCCCAACTGCGCCGCCCGGCGCCGCCGCAGAGCCGGCCGGCCGTCCAGTGCGCCAGCGACCAGCCGGCTGAGACGCGCTCCAGCCGTGTCCGGGACAACCCCACTGCGCCGCCCGGCGCCGCCGGTCGTATCGATCGCCGCCTGGCCCGACGGCGGTGAGCCGGCCCGACCCCGGCTTCAAGGGTCGCCACCAGCAGTGCGCATGGGCCACACCCTGGCACCGACCATACAGAATCGCAAGGGAGGAGACGAGGCAGATGCTCGCTGGTTGAGTGCTTCGCCGCGCCTCGGCTGATGAACTCACCGTAGAACGGAGTCACGCGCGGGAGCTTCTCCAGCCAGGTATTATATTTTAGAATGACGTCGCCCACATCAAACAGGTAAAATGCCTCTTCAGTTTCCTGGAAAGGAAGAGGCAATGTCATCCAACAGCAGGGGTAACAGCCGAAGAGTTGACACTCCAAGCGCGATACTTCCGCGGGTGAACGCATGCACGACATAAGTGAGAGTGATCCGTGTGATACAATGAATCGGGAAACATCGCAGGAAAGTCGCATCGACATGACCGACGCTGGAGGGCGTCAGTGTACGTAATTCTATCCTGGCAAAAACGCAAATCAGTGCAAGTCTCACATGGTTGCAATCAAGCCGGCATTCTGCGACGGTTTGACGGAGCCCTTTGGCATTTTCCCCGTGCGAAGCGCCAGTCCGCGCGGCGCCGTGTTCACCAGAGCGTGGTTCCGCCTGCTGCCAGGCACCACGTGGCACCGCTAACGCCGGACAGGGGCCGTTCTCCAGCGGCGTCTCGATTTGGAGCGGCCAGATCCAAGACACGACCCCGCCACGTGACAACAGCCAGAGTCCAAGGCCGGCCGAGGACTGGGGGGCCAGGCGGCGACAGGGCACTGGCGGATACCCGTCGGCTGATTCAGTTACTTTTTTGTGGCATAGCGTACGCCAGTTAACCGAGCTGTGCCTCTAGTTCGAGAGCTGAGGGATTGGCACAATGGAGGCAGATCCAAACCTCACGGCAGTCCCACGCCGTCCAAATGAAGCCCCTGAACGTATGCGAGTTCCTATACTACAAGTATTAGATTATCGGTCAGCAAATAAAACTGGAACGACCACATTTCTCACCCGCCCGCCAAACATTTTTTTTTTTACGGGAAAGGCAGCTCCATTCACCGGAGCGATGCAGGTGGAACCAGTCGTGGGGGCTGTGGTGAAGGGACAGCCCGAAAGCCTATCGCCAAACCCGATCTTTAGGAGGTAGGTACACATTTGGTCACCACGGCCGGGGCAGATCTAAATCGCGTTTCAGGCATAGTAACAGCGCTAGGGAAAACGTAGAGCAGTTTCCTCTGTTAACAAAGTCAACGTGTTCTGAAAAGGAGCTGCATACCAACCCAAACCAAAGCTGACTTCCTGTCAGTTAACTCCGCGAGCCTGATCCCGGCGCCCGGCGGCGCGGTCGGTACAGCTGATACCGCTCTAGAGGTACCAGGCCAAGCCGTTGGGGCTATGGAGCGAACCCACTGATGCATGCATGACATCTTACAAGCGGCGCGCTTACACAACTGGCGTAACACTGACAGAAACAACACGAGCGAGGGACAAAGTCTGCCTCATGCGAAGTCCCCCTCCCCTCCCCCCTTCCCCGCTCGGCGTGTGGACGGAACACCTCGTGACTGCCCCTGCTCGGAGCGTGGACAGAACGCCTCGTGACTGCCCCTGCTCGGAGCGTGGACGGGACGCCTCCTGGCTGCCCCTGCTCGGCGCTTGGACCTAACACCTCGTGGCTGCCCCTGCTCGGCGTGTGGACAGAACGCCTCGTGGCTGCCCCTGCTCGGCGAGTGGACCTAACACCTCGCGGCTGCCCCTGCTCGGCGCACGGACGAGACGCCTCGTGGCTGCCCCTGCTCGGCGCGCGGACGGAACGCCTCGTGTGGCCAGACCCCGCCCGACAGATCGCCGATCGGGTGTAAAGTCCGCCACGGAGACCACTCTCTCGGCCGCGGACCCGACGGCAGAAGCAGGGCGGTCACTGGCCGCGGCTGCAGGCACGGAGCGTCACGCCCCTTCAACCCCCCCCCCCCCACCCCTCCCCTCAGCCGGCGCCGTGTACTGCCAGCCGACAGCGCGGCTGGAGATGAATGCTGCCCGCCCGACGGGGTCGAAACTGAGAAAACGCGCGTGTCCTGGAAACGCTACCATTCTCTTCGGTGGCATCCAGCCAGTCACCGAGTAAACGGGATGGGCCCCCCAAATACATAAGCGATTTACCGAGATGGGAAATAAGCTTCAGCGGTCCTGACCTGGCTCTGAGACTTTTAAGGCGAGTGTGGAGAGAAAATGCAGCCCTGTTCTCATCGCTGTATCATAAAGAGCATGCAAAAATGTAGAATCCGTCTTGGGGCACCTTCATCTGCTGCAATGGTTTCAAGCCGAAACCCAAAACATTCAGGGAGTGTTGCTGACAAGGCTGACATGCATGCCCGCAAACATATTCAATCATTACTGCATTTGTGGGAACACGCTGAACTACGCCAAAATTATTACTTCTTGCATTGCTTCTAGAGTTAATTTTGCCTGTAATCAATCATTCCATTGTGATCTACTAAACGGGGGAATAATTGCGGTTCCAAAAGGGGACTGCTCAACTCCAACACATACAGCAAACATAAAGGTTGTTTGAAATGTTGCGTGCATACGCTGTTGAACAGCGCTCGCGTGTAACCTAGTATACACATATTTCCAACTTTGAACGGGCGTATTCCACGACTAGGAAACAAGTAACTTCCTCCCCCTCCCCTCTGAATTCGACGACTGCTCTGACCTCTGACCTACTCCTGCCCGACGTACGAGACAGTCGAGTGGTGTTCGTTGAATGGCAGGACACCTCGCCACTCACCTGAGAGATTTGCGAGACGATCTGTTGGCAGACGGCCGGGGTCATGGCGGGGACATCCACCACCATGACCTCGGCCGCCTGCTGCGGAGAGATCTGCTTCATCCGGGGTTAAGTGGGTTAGCGACGGGAAAGCAAAACGAGCTTCGTCGAGGACGGTCTGGAACGGAAGGAGGCGCCCGTTAACCGCAACTCACTCCCAAACCACGAGGCAGAAATAAATGGTCGGTGAGGTAACGCTTCTGTATTTTTCTTTTTGGATGTGAAGTTATGGAATGAGTCTATGAAAACCGACATTTCATGGAAGAATCAACATGATCGATTCGTTCTCATGTACATTCTGTGGCTCGCACCTTCCTGAGGGGCTGGCTGGGAGTAGCACTACCTACGCTCAGTGGCATGTCCCCTGGGGACCAGCAGCACCCATCTGTGCCAGGCGCAGCTGGAGGTAGTGCCACCAGACACATGAACTCACCTGTCAACTGTGGGCCGGTCTAGTCGTCCGGGGGGCGTCAGAACCAGGGCGGCAGGCCACTCGGCACCAGCCACGAGTTGACGGTGAACAGCACGAACCCGATCAGGTCCGAGTAGGCTGGCAACCGTTCTGCTCTGCCCTGCGCACATGTGGGGTACACACATTCAGAACTCCATAATGTTTGAGTAGGCTGGCAACTGCTCTGCTCTGGCCTACACATATGTGGAGCACAGATATTCAGAACCTGATCAGGTCTGAGTGGGCTGGCACTGCTCTGCTCTGGCCTATTCATACATATGTGGAGCACACATATTCAGAACCTGATCAGGTCTGAGTGGGCTGGCACTGCTCTGCTCTGGCCTATTCACACATATGTGGAGCACACACATTCAGAACCTGATCAGGTCTGAGTGGGCTAGGCACCACTCTGCCTGGCCTATTCACACATATGTGGAGCACACATTCAGCCACATGGACCAGGAGAGGCTGCTTGCTGGCAGAAGCAAACTTTTACAGGGAAATCACATATACCACAAACTGTTACTGGAACAGTCACATACACCCTATGGTTCTCACATCAACATAATTAACTTGAACATGAAGTTGTGAGGACCATACAATGTACATTACCAATATGTCCATATAAGATGGCTGCAATAAATGTTAACTGCCTTATACTTGCAAAGAATCTATCAGAGTATGCTGTTATGATGAACAATATGATATTTTATTACTGGGTGCTGCAACAGAAATGTAGAATTATGGGATGGGCACAGCAATCAGTTCCATGACCATGAGAAACTATTTTGTGTAAAAAATTGACATGTGTGCAATAACACAGCTGAGAAAAAATGTGTACCAGCTGCTTTCACAAATACATTATACCCAACAGGCTGAGGAATAATAATAAAGCAGTTAACATATGTGCAAACATACTTGAGGTTTCTTGGGTATGGACCATGTACCATTTGGCCAACTGGGTAGACAATAAAAATTTGTATTTCCTATCCCATACAAACACTTAATAGCATATATACTACCTACCACATAAGTGCAAGTTAAACAGCCACAATGAGTATGAGGATAAGTAAACCAATACCAGTTGATTTTATCCCCCATGCTCAAACAAAGTGGGGAAAGCTTATGGCAGATAAAAAATACCACAAGACCATTCATGTTTTGTCATCATTGGTGCTTGTTGGCACAATCAGCTGCATAGGCTACATGGTGTCACCTGCTTCTCACCCTGGCAGGAAGGGAAGGTGGTGCTGGGAATTAAACCCCATATCACATATGCTTCATTTCTTACTGGTGCATAGGAGTGAAATGGCATGACAAAGGCTCCTAGCCTTGTGCCAGTGCTGTCCCAACTAACCAGTCTCATTCTGCTCCAGTTCAAGTGCTTAAAACATTGTTTTACTCAAAATGTCACCAGAAGTGGCCTATATCTATAAGTTTAACTGTTTCATCAGTAGTCCCTACCTTGCATGTGCTGCATCCCCAACCATACAGATTAAGCAAGCATATGCGATTTTTGGCCATCCAACAGATGCAATCATTTCAAAGTTTGAAAATGTTAGCCAGCTATCCTAAAAGTACCTACCATGCCACAGTAGCCGTAGCTGGCAGAAGCTGCACACCAAACATTGCAAACCTTTCTCAAATCATAAGAGACAAAATCCAGGTGGTTTATCTTACAATGTCAGCATGTGCACAAGCTTTTTGCCAATGCACTATGTCATTAGGTATTAAGGAATGTGATCAAAATTGTACATCACAGGCAGTTTACCAGCTTATCGCGTTCACGATGGCTCACCTCAGCGAAGTTATCCTCTTCCCACCTCTTTTGAGTGTTTTTCTCTAAGAGAGGAATTTTATGGATTTAGGGTCCACGTTGAAAAAAAGGTCGGAGGAGAAAAGACGCTGGTATTTTCGATTCAAGACGGCCCCCAACACCGACAAAACGCCCTCTGCGAGAGCGCCACCAAAAATGGCAGGGACATGGACAGACGCCGTGGGCTTCTAATCAAGGTTGGGGTAATAGAAGATGGGTAGTATAGAGTCCGGGGCAAGCATTTTAGCTTAGTACCAGAAACATACTAGATGTGAAATTAGCTCCTGAATTTCAGTTTCCGTTGGCGGACCGTAAATAGACAGCATCAGTAGACGGCTCTGTATTAAGGTTTTACAGCAGAGGCACAGCCGCAGCCATGGTAGGGGTGGAGGCATGGGTGACAATTTCTCAAAATGATGGGCTGGGCAAAATGCTTGAAAGTCACCATTAGTAGACGGGTACGAACAAGGGCGGATCCAGGGCAGGGGCGAATCCAGAGGGGTTGACCACGGGGTCATGGCCCCCCTTGGGCTCCGAAGGGGCCTATAGGTTTCGAACGGGCCCGAGCCGACCGAGCAGGTGTAGAATTTTTAACACAAAACGTAACAAAATTTGACATCTTTGGATTTCTAGGCGACCAAGAACAGTTGCAAGCGAAAGTGAAGGGCTCACGGGAAGAGAGAAAAAGATCGTCAGTGATTGAAAAAATACTAGTTGGGGATTTTTAACTTTATTGTGCCGTACAGGGGCCCTAACTATTTCCAGGGGGCCTATATGCCCATTGCAGTGTCCTTCCGATCGTAAAGGAGCCTTCCGCGTTGCCCTTGATTTCTTTGCGTTTGCTCGGAAGGCTCTGCACTGATGCTGGGATCCTGCTAGCGTGCTAGGTCGCTGTTATCAGTCAGGAGCCTTTCACAGTTTTTTTTCCATTTGCCAGAAAGCTCATTGCCATGTTGAGTGTGAAGTTATGCTGCTGCATACGCCTCAGGGCAGCGGAGAGTCGCTCGTCGTGCTCACTTCGAAAGCTGCCCCAGACGATGACGTCATCCAGGTACACCTGGACAACTGATAGACCACGAAAGATGGCTTCCATCACCTTCTGGAAGGCCTGTGGGAGATTCTTCAGCCCATAAGGGCATCTCCTGAAGCGCATCAGCCTCTGATGTGTGAAAAACGTTGTCAGCGACCTGCACTCTGGGTGCAGGTTCAGCTGATGGTAGGCCGACTTCATGTCCAGGCTGGAGAACATGGCTGCTTCCTGAAGCTGTTCCAGCGTATCCTGCATATCTGGTAGGAGATGACCGCTCGCCTCTACCGCCGTGCTGACCTACCAGAGATCCACGCAGGGGCGCAGGTTGCCGTTCCGTCTTGGGGACACTACGATGGGTGAGATTCAGGAGGGGTCCACTGGCTCAATGGTGCCAGCCTGCTGAAGTTCCTCCAGGTGAGATCGTACCTCCTCCCTCAGAGCAAACGGAAGAGGTCGAAGTCACTGCTGCACTGGTGAAACTCCTGACTTCAGTTGCACCCGGTGAACGAACCCAGACAGGCAGGGCGGCCTGTCGGGATCCTGCTGATTGACTGCATAGACAGCCCGCGTATAACCGACAGCTGCAGCACCTCCTAAAGATCCTTGTCCAGCAACGGTACTCGAGCATTCACCACGTATAGGACGCTATGGGAGCTCCTGCCATTTCCGGCCTTCACATCCATTTGAACTACACCTTCAACTAGAAGGGATGCATCCCCATACGCCTGCTGGCGCACTGCAGTAGGGAGTTGAGGAAGATGCAGGAAATGATTCTGGTACAACTGCAGCGGCATGATGTTCACTGCTGAGCCGGTGTCCACCAGCATCCGCAACCAATGACCATCCACCTTCACCCCAGTCTACAGGCTCTTCTGCTCCTTTATTGTGTCGACCGCCAGTATTCCCAACGCCCTCGCCGTCTTTGGCTTGCTGTTGGTCCTGGTTGACCGCTGGGCCCTGCATAACTTCGCGTAGATTCCCAACTTGCCATACTGCCTGCACTTGCATCCGCGAGCAGGACAGTGGTTGTCTGCTGCTTTGTGTGGGCCACCACAGTTGAAACGCTGGGTTGCACCTACAGGCGTCTTCCGAGCCATGACACCAGCCACCTTCAGCTGTGGCTGTGATGACACAGGTTTGTCAGCACGGCCACCAACTAGCCTATGGCGCTCCACTGCTAGGTCCATAGCCGCTGCAACTTCAAGCACCCGAGATACAGTCAGGGCTGGATCCCCACATAGGCGCCCACGCAGCTTGTCCGAGCGGCAGCCCTCGACAAACTGCTCTCATAGGAACTATATTTACCCTATGTTTTTGTACTTGTCACTTACTTTTGCATCAGAGTTGTACGATTTGATCGGTAATACCAGTTTCAGCCGCTGCAGCTGTACCAGTAGCAGTTCCTGCATCTACATCTTCTCCCAACTGCAGTGCGCCTCCAGGCGTGTGGCGGTACATCCCTTCCAGCCGAAGGTGTAGTTCAAGTGGGTGTGGAGGCCGGAAACGCCAGGAGCTCCCATGGCGTCCTACGCGTGGTGAATGCTCGAGTACCGTTGCTGGACAGGGATCTTTAGGAGGTGCTGCAGCTGTCGGTTATACGCGGGCTGTCTATGCAGTCAATCAGCAGGATCCCGACAGGCCGCCCTGCCTGTCTGGGTTCGTTCACCGGGTGCAACTGAAGTCAGGAGTTTCATCAGTGCAGCAGTGACTTCGACCTCTTCCGTTTGCTCTGAGGGAGGAGGTAAGAGCTCTTTTGGAGGAACTTCAGCAGGCTGGTATCATTGAGCCAGTGGACTCCTCCTTCTGGATCTCATCCATCGTGGTGTCCCGGAGACGGAACGGCAACCTGCGCCTCTGCGTGGATCTCCGGTAGGTCAACAAGGCGGTAGAGGCGAGCGGTTATCTCCTGCCAGATATGCAGGATACGCTGGAGCAGCTTCAGGAAGCAGCCATGTTCTCCAGCCTGGACATGAAGTCGGCCTACCATCAGCTGAACCTGCACCCAGAGTGCAGGTCGCTGACAACGTTTTTCACACATCAGAGGCTGATGCGCTTCAGGAGATGCCCTTATGGGCTGAAGAATCTCCCGCAGGCCTTCCAGAAGGTGATGGAAGCCATCTTTCGTGGTCTATCGGTTGTCCAAGTGTACCTGGATGACGTCATCGTCTGGGGCAGCTCTCGACGTGAGCACGACGAGCGACTCTCTGCTGTCCTGAGGCGTATCCAGCAGAGTAACGCCACCCCAACATGGCAAAGTGCAAGATGAGATAACTGTTAGTGGAGTTTTGGGGCTTCATCGTCTCTCCACGGAGTGTGGCTGTGAACCAAGGCCAGGTTCAGGCCCTGAAGGAGCTGCAGCTTCCAGCTGAGCTCAAGGGCCTGCAGACCATGCTCGACCTGTTCAGCTTCTACAGTCGCTTCGTGCCGGACTACATCACGCGGGTGGAGCCTCTGCGGCGACTGCTGAGGAAGAGGGCGCCACTGTCTCAGTGGACCCCGGACCTGTCGGCCGTGATAGACGCGGTACGACTGAGTGTCTTGACCAGCGAGGTGTTCGCCATGTACGACCCGTCCCTGCCGACTCGGGTCACCAACGAAGCCAGCGACGTCGGGCTCGGCTCAGTGCTGTCCCAGCTGCATCCAGAGGAGGAGAGGGCAGTGAGCTTTGCCTCCTGTAGTCTCAACCCAGCACAGCGACGGTACAGCGTGACGGAGCGGGAGGCACTCGCGTGTGCCTGGGCGGTGGAGAAGTGGATGAAGTATCTGTGGGACGGTCACTCTGCCCTCGAGTGGACCATGCTGCGCTCTGCACCCTGATGACGTCACCAGGTGTGGGTCGAGCCGGCCTATGGATCGCCGGGTGGGCGTCACGTCTGATGGCGTACGACTTCACGGTCGAGCACGTCAAATGCTCGGACAACCCAGCGGATGGCCTATCGGGACTTCCGGGCCGGTCTGAGGAGGCTCAAGAAGACGACGCCGTGGCGGTGGCAGCGGTGACGGCCCAGCTCCAGGCCGTGCGGAGGGACGAGCCGGCTGAGGCAAGGCGGTATCCCGCCACTCCAGCTCATGGAGCAGATTCGGGGGGCGGTGGCCGCGGCGGTGCAGAGACTGCCCAGAGGAGCTCCAGCTGTTCTACCGTTGCCGAGATGGGCCCAGCCTGGTGGCGGACCCGGTGCTGCGCGCGCAGCGGGTGGTCGTCCCGGCAAGACTGCGCTCCAGGACGATCGAACCAGCTCACGAGGACCACCAGGCGATTGCAAGATCTAAACAGCGAGCCAGAGAAGCCTATTGGTGGCCAGGAATGGACACCGAGGTGAAGGCTGCCGTCAGAGCTTGCGACGTTTGCTCAGCGCTATACAAGACGGCCAGGAGCGGATGCGCCGATGCGCAGCGCGCCGATGGAGCCCGTACCTTTGCCACAAGCGGCATGGGGCAAGGTCGGGGTGGACTACATGGGCCCTAGGGGGCTACCCAAGAGGTACCCAAGTGTTGGTGGATTACTACTCCAAGTACATCGAGGTAGAGTTTTGTGCAGAACCGAACTCAGAAGCCGCTATCCAGTTCCTGGAGGTCATCGCTTCGCGAGAAGACCACCCGAAAGAGTTGGCCTGCGTTAACGGGACGCACTTCACGTCCGGAGCCTTCATTGAGTACCTGCAGAGTGTACGGACTCGTCAGATTCACGCGACCCCGTACCACCCGGCGGTGTCGGGTGCAGTGGAGCGAGCCAACCCGCACTATGAAGTCAGCACTGCAGGTGGTGGACCAGAGTGACGAGGACCGCGCCCAGTACCTGCGGAAGCTCCTACAGCAGTACCGGAGCACGCCGCACGCCACCACCGGAGTAAGCCCACCTGTGCTGTTGCGCGGCAGACGACTGAGGACCAAGCTACCGCTGAGTCGCTGCCGCGGCCTATCAACCCATTATATTAACAACGGCATATTAAGCAATCCGAGCGGCAGCCGCTGAGTCGCTTCATAGCAAGACAAAGATGCAACAAGTAGTACGAACACGAGTGCGGAGCCGGCAGGAGTATCAGCGGAAGTACTCTGACCGCACGAGGAGCGCCAGGCTACTCTCGTGCGACGTCGGGGACTAGGTCAGATACCGCCTGGTACCCCGGCCGAGGAAGGGGCACCATCG